GGCAGAATGACAGAAAGGATGTAAAATATCTCATAAGCCAGTCACATAAAGACAAGTATCACACAATCTCACTCACATGTAGAATCTAAAGGACAAAATAAACATGAACAAAATAGATCCAGAGACATAGAAACATGGAACTGACTGGTGAATCTCAGAGAGAAGGTGAGGTGGCGGTGGATGGGAACAGATTAACCGAAGAACTTGTATGCATATATGCATAACCCATGGGCACAGACAATGGTGTGGTGAAGGCCTGGTGAGGAGGAGGGGACGGGCTAGAGTGGTTCAGTGAGGAAAAAATAGGTACATCTGTATAATTTTCAACAATCAAGATAAATTTTAAAAACGTTTTTAACATTGATCACATGCTGAATGATTAATTTAGGATATATATGATTACATTTAGGATATATTGAGCTAAATAACATCATTAACATTAATTTCACTTGTTTATAAAATATGGCTAACATTTTAAAAATTAAAATTAGATATTTGTAAGGACAGCACTGATCTAGCCCCTTCCTCCATCATGTCCCTCACCCATCTCATGGCCTCCAAGGCCCCAGTGCTCATCCGTGCCTCAGATGCACCCTAAAACCTACTCATGACCCACCATCCCCCCACCCCCACCTCTCTCTCTAAGACTTTGCTTCCAATTTCCTCTTGGAGGCCTTCGAGAGATTTGCTTCACAAGTCCACCTCCCTTTACGGGCCCCAGGGCATGCTCATCTTTACTCTCAAGTGCACAGGGCTGCACGGGTTCATACTGTTGGTCAAGGTAAGGAATGAGGAGAGTCAGTCTAAAAGGATAAAGTTGGAGGGAGGTAACTGGTGCTATGTTATAACGCAAGTGAACTGTTGTGCCCAGATTTCAAGATTCCCAAGGGCCCACCAGGGAGCCAGGGAGAGGAATCACAAGCTCAGGAGAAACTTTCTTTGACTTCAGCACCTGACCAGTCTCCCCCTCGCGCGGCCGGCCTGACCCCCGCCCCGCCCCAACCCC